ACGACACCGGAGAAGACGAAGGGACGCTCGTACAAGACTCGATATAATGCTTAGCGAAAAAGCAACCGAAGTGATTTATCTAAAGGCCCTTAGAAAAGTGGGGCCAAAATGGCGCATTAATTCATAAGAGGCACCACGTCAACAACTGCCACAATATATGTATCGAATATCAGACAATCAAGAGCAACTAACAATGACTGCCACATGGCCACCGCTAAAAGGCTTTCTTAATCGTCATCAACCACAGAATCTCGATAAGACGCCAAATCACCGTTATCGACAAGAAACAAACATCAAAAAATCGATCCAATCATCACACAGGGGGGCTCTGCCCCTGCCAAGACATTAATAACTTCAACTCCTTTCTCTCCTTCCAAAATAGCAATCAGAGGAGGGCTGACGGCGAAGCCGATATGTTCCCAACAGCCAAGGAGCTGAAACTCACAAATGGAAAGCAATCTTCCCCCTAGCAAAAAGAAAACAGCCGATAGAGATGCCCCACAGTGTTCCTTGCCAATTACCTCCCCACCCATATCTAGGGGGGCTAAAATATAAACAATTATGACCACTGGAAGAAACACCACTCGATCTACAATAACAGTCACCACACCCATGGTACCACATGATTACGACTGAATTCAACAAGCTTCAAAGTTACTTGCGATTAGGTTTTAAGATACAAAATGATGCAAATAACAATAAATTATTTACACAGAAATAAACTTAAAATTGTTACAAAAATAAAACATGCAGCCCACTCCTTATTGACACTATATTTTTCAGCATGGGCCTTGGAGCCTCAAATGTCTTTAGTTCTTTCACCTCTACCTCATATTCAACTACCAACTTGCTCTGACGACCGCATTCCACCATGAGGGCTTCTAACTTCTTTGTGGCCTTAACGAGATTCGCCTCGGCTACGTTGATACGAAAGCACACATCCCTCAAAGACTAACCAAAAACCAATGATGACATACTGCATCTATTAAAACAAAACCCATCCCACATGCCAAGAATTACAGCCCAGTACCGAGGAAGACAAACAGGCATGCCCAAACAAAACATCACGAAAAAGCAACCAACCATAATTTACAAATACACCCTCCCAAAAGTGGAACATAACAGTGCATTAATTTCAATATAACGCCGCATTCGCCACCGCCATTTCACCAAGTATCAAAATCACACATTTGACATTCATTACAGTATGAAAAACGAGAAAAATAATAACCATAGCCGTAGCATGGTCATCACCCAACGCCTATTCGGATACCCATCAACAACAACATTCAGATCATCCGCCATCAACCAACACCATGCACTAGACACAAACACTTATATTGCTGGGAAGTAGAACCTCATGCAGTAATTCACAATGTATTTGCTAATTTCCTTCCTGTCAATAGTCAGGGGGGTTAGAACATATAGATAGTGCATGGCACTAACCATTGGTAGAAAGCAAATCACCAAAAGACTGGGGGTTAAGTTGTAGAATGTAAAGAACTGTCACCGCAAACATGAGGCATATGAGATTTATACAAAGTTATAAAGTAGGCAAAATCCCCAGACCCAACGCACATAAGATAACTCATTACAAAACCCAAAGATGAAAGGACAAAGTGCTTATCGATAAGCTCCCACTTACCGATAAGCAAAGGGGCTAATGTAAGTGCATAGTGCTCACTCAGACCCTCAGAGAACATCAAACATCAAGATTAACACCGCAAAGTTGCGTGCAAACAACCCACAATCAATCCCCATGATGCGATGAACCCGCAACACACCATCAACCCTGCGATGAACTCACAACGTGTATCACAAAACCGTGATAAACCCATGGTTCATCGAGCCCACTTGCGATCCAAACTGAGAGAAGCTCAGGCCGAGCCCATGGCGAGGCCCGCGCGTACCCGTAGCCACGTGGAACCTACACCGTCAAAAGACATTGTGAGACGCCACGTAGGGTTAACAAGACATCGCCCACCAAGTGGTGACGTCATTAAATGCCACGTCAATTAAAATAAAGTGCACGAGAGGTAGTAGCACACGTGGCTAATGAGGGATCTTGAGAAGAAGGAAAGTTGATCTTCGAAAAAAATCCTCATGAGACACGTGGCGAAACCCCAATAGCGCACTTAATAATTGATAGCGAATCCAATATTCCCTTTCCCGACACATTGCAAATACCCTTATCTCCTGTCTTTTTGGATCTTGGGACCTCCCCCATAAATAGATGTCCTCCTCATATTGAAATTCATTCTATCCTTAACATTTTAGCACCTAGCACTCAAGCACACTCTCTCGGTTCCATTGCCTTAGTATCCTTAACCCCAGAAGCCTATTTCCCTACTCACCGGCCTCTCTCTCTGTCTTTCAAAGAGACCACTCCCCAACCAAGCCTTACCCCTCCTGTAAAACCAATCTCCCTACTTCCCGATCTTTCTCTGTGTTTTAAAGAGACCATTCCCCATCCAAGCCTTACCCTACCTACAACTTAAACCCTAAAGAGAGGTTAACAATGTTTTATTCTCCTTCAACCTTAACCAACAAATTACACTTTAAATTTGTCTTTAACACTCAAACTAGATCCCGATATTGTAGAAAGTCTACATTTGGTAGGGAAAATCACTGATCATGCATATATAAAACACAATTAAGTTTTGATTCTTTCCAAAAACCTCACTAATGAAATAATCATTGATTCTGATTTCCATATTCTCTCGTCCCTTTTCTGAGATTAATTCACATTCTCTAATCCTCCATCCTCCTATAATCAATTCCTTCTCCAAAACTTAATTCATTAACTTGTATGGGCACACCTCTTGGTAAAAGTTCCACTGCAATAGGTACCAGGATACCAAAAAGTCCCTTCCCCCCACTGCCCTACCCCAATATGCAAAAACCCTTGGGTAAATTAATTAAAATTGTTTCTAAATAACCAGCTACAAAACATTGATAACTATGATATTAGAGGTAAGAAGGTCAATATCACATTCCTTGTTCTTGTTGCCGTCACCTATGCTACCCAGATAATAAAGATATTCCAAGATATTGTAGGTTGGAAGTCTATTTATTACAAGTCAACGTTAAACATAGGAGCTGATGGAATCTGACATAACATTTTAAATGCATTTCCTTCTTCAAACTGTCTTTCAGATGGATTCATTCGGTCACAATGAGTCGTTATGCAAACAACAAACTATGTCTTTCAGATGGCATTATTAGTTTCACGTTTCAGAAAGAAGCACACAACCTGGAAAGAAGAAAAACCTAAACCTGTACGAACTACAAGTCTACAGGTTGTTAACATCTAATATACTTTTTACTCAAAATAGAGGAACAAAATGAAAAAAGAACAGAGGAATGCAAAGGAGAAAGCAAGAGAGTGCAGGTTTGTACCTCTGTGAAAAACTAAAGTTGTCCTTCAGAGTTCCTCCATGTTTAGACTAACAGAGGATCATTCATCGAAGAAGACAATGCATAATGGTGGCAAAGCATCAACGACAAAAAGAAGAGAGAAGACTCTCCCTGATATTTGCATGCAGCATCGACAACAATAGACGTCTCCCAAGATGATAGTAGTTATGCAATGAAAAATGGTTTTAAACCATTTATCCTCAACTTACAGGAACGCAGGAGAGTGAGAGAGGGGAGGAGAGAAGGTAAAGAATAAAGGAAGAGAAGGAGAAAGGGTGAAAGAAATCAATGGACCTTTTACATCTGTACATATTACTCTTTCCAAACTGAGCCTTAAGTGTGGGAATTTGTCGCATGCCCAAAATCAAAGTGTATCCAGGAAATAAGCCCAAATACATGCTTATTCCTAAAAATAAGCACTTATTCAAAGATGCCCACAAATAAGTGCTTACCCCCATTTGAAATAAATGCTTATGCACCAAACACTCATAACACTTATTATAATAACAACTTGTTCTTAAACACTTATTTATCAATAAGCACTCCCAAATAGGGGCTAAGATCTCCATTGCTTTCTCAAGACATCATAATTCACCTTTACAAAATCAAACGCTTATTAATATTTTTTCCATAAAAGTCGCATGCCCAAAATCAAGCGTGGCCAGTGAAATAAGCCCGAATAAGTGCTTATTGCTAAAAATAACTTATTCAAGATGCCCACAAATAAGTGTTTACCCCTATTCAAAATAAATGCTTTTTCACCCAACACTCAGAACACTTGTTATAATAAGAATTTATTTTTAAGCACTTATTTATCAAATAAGCACTCCCAAACAGGGGCTAACGGCTAAGATCTTCATTGCTTTCAAGACATCAGAATTCAACTTTACAAAATGCCACCTAAACGTCCATAATAACATTATTAGCTTGTGGAAGTGAGCAAATGGATAGATTCTATCCGGAACCAAATGAAACTGACCTCTACCAATCTATTACCAGATAGGTCTAGTTCCAAATTCTTGAATTCAACCTCGCCCAGGCCAATTCCAGGGCCTAAGGCTTACCAAACTGACCTGAATAATCAGCCTTAATTGACCAAGATGAGACCAGCCTTGGAACTGAATTTGTATTGAAATAAATCCAAAAATACTGAGGATGTAAAAATTTGAACCAAGCACTCATCATTACAAATATTATGGTCTCACTTGACCATTGAGCCACTTAAGTGATTTGGTCATTTTTTCTTAAATTTAATATTTGATGTATACAATGAGTAATGCAAAAAATAATGCGTACAAAATTTAAATTATTATTCCAATTTTAAGTTTTCGGAGATTTTTTTTTTCTTGAGGGGGAAGGGGGTAAAAAAAGAAAATGTTCCACAGCTGGATCCTAAAATCCCTAAGGTCAAAATTAACCCTTGAACCAATCTTGACAAGGTAGATTCTGGTTACAAAAACCCAAAAACAACCCTTCTACCTTGGAACCAAACCAAGCTCACCCCTATTAACCTATAAAGAGGGGTGCTTATGTTTGAAACAGGGAAACAGATTTGACAAACACCATCTACAAAACCTTTCAGATTAGACAAAAACGATTCAACCAGGAGCAGTAGCACTAGTAAGACCGTTCAATAAAATAGCCTGCACTTCTATCATTACATTTCATTTCATTGCCTTTCTCAGGTATTATTACCAGAAAGGATACTAAACAGATTGAAATTCGCTCTTACATGCAATTCCTATCTAAGTGTCATCAACGAATTAAAAAGCTCGTTTTAGCAGTGTTTCTACTCGTTTCTGTTTCAGACCATTGGCGTTCACATTCACAATCTTGGCTGCTTCGACTATACCCCTTCTCCCAGTATCAGAAGTAACTTTTCTATATTATCATGCCATTTCTTTAATCCCGTGCATGTTTCCAACTCTAACCACTTCATTAATTTACAAGGTTTTGAACCTGCATTTTTGAAGTTCAAAAAAGGCACAGTACAAAAACTTAGCAGCACCTGGATGTTGAATGTCACTCAGACGCTTAACCCATATTCCTCTACTCAAAAATCCAATTGATGGCAGAAATCTTTGTAGATAGCATATGAGGAATGTGTAGCGGAATCGGTTGTACTAAACCACAGATGAAGATACGCAACCAAGAACCAGATAAGCAGTGGAGATGTTTCAACCAAAGCGCTTCTTAAACAAGAAATGTCTCTTGGAAGGATCCTTGGGCTTACTCTTAATCTGGCCCTGCCCAGGATGCTTGCTCCGTCCAGTGCTGCAGAATAAGATTAAAAGAGTTACGTAAGGAAATGAAAGGCACAAAATTGAAGGATGCTTGCTCTACCTGCTTTAGATAAGACTAGTTATTTTACATGCTCCTTTTACATGGAAACATTTTTTTTACTCAGAAAAAACCTTCTATTAATGCTTTAAAAGATGATACATGAAGTCCATTGAGGGGTAGAAGATACATGAAAACATTGTTTTCCTTGCCAGTCACATAAAACTTAATTAGTAATTGGCTGGAAAATAAAATATTTTTTCCCTGTAGATCCATTTTATGGATAAACAATTGAAGCCTAAGCATACGAGAAGGGGAATGAAAAGCAATTTTTTTTCCTTAGGTAGAAATAAAGTAAGCACATTCATACAAGAAAAGATTAATGGAATAAACATACTTATATTCCATGTAAACCATCCCACTAGCTCCAGACATTGCACTCATTGATCCAACGGAACGACGGGCTTTCTGAAGGGCAATATCATCTGCATCTTCTTCTAATTGCTCTAAACCAACAACATCATCACCAGCACTCAACACCTGCCATACAAACATTTCAATGACTGCTGATTCAACAAACAAATCATCCTGGGGTAAACAATATGGCAAGAGGTAAACCTTCCCAAGAAGTGCCAATTGCTCATCCAAACGGTGAAAGCTCAACATATCTCCTGAATCAGGAGGTGGCAAGCTTGTAATGATCTATCAAAAGTTTCAGTTAGTCAATATAACCCTATCCTATCAGGAAGAATCAATAGGATTAAAGATAGAAAAGCTATGTTGAAATCTCAATCCAAACTAAAACAATTAACTGCAAATTTGAAAAGTAGTTGCTTTTCATAACACCCACATGTTGCATATGGATAATTTACATTTTAGACAAAGTGTTCTAAAACTGTCATTGACCTGAATAGTCAAACAAGCGAACTTGAAACCTAAAGTTCTTAATGGTTTTGACTGATCATAATTAGAGAACTGCCCAGTTGGACCACTGAATTGTTGATCCAGACGGTTGTCAGATTTGATGTCTGGATCAGATTCAAAGCATTGTGTTATAAATTATAGGAATAGACTGTAAGGGACAATTCGAAGGAGCAATGTAATAGGGAAGAACATGAACCACGGGAAACTTCTTTTAAAACTCAATAAAAAATGTCTCCAGAAGATATAGGATTCTAAAAACAAATAGAAAGCATCATATAGATCCCACTCAAACAAGTAACCAAAAAGACGATTTTCCCAAGCCCCATGTACCTAAAGCAACCACCAAAGATTTCAAATAGAAAATATGAACTATCCTAACTTCACCTCCACCTTGACTACAAAACTTGAATTGATAAGTAAGAAATAACTTGAAGATTTTATCCAATTGACACACAAAAACAATCAATAGGACTTCTTCTTCCTAGGACCAAAACAAGGGCTCAACTCTTATGGTTTGTATGTTTTCTTTCCTTTCTTATTTTCTTCTCATAAATATGTTGATTTTCTATCTTTTGATATGGGGTTTATACTTATTTCTTGAGGATGATGGTAATTATTAGTGAAAGATAATTGCTTATTACTATGAAACCTGAGGGACTACCCTAGGATTTATAGTTCTTTATTTTAAAAAACTCATCACCTAGGCAATGCCTAGGCACCCACCTAGGTGACTAAGTGACAAGGCACTCCCCTATCGCCTGGCTTTGCCATGGTGCCGTACCTTGAAAACTGTGATGGCTAGATAACCTTTCTAGATTAAGTTGATGCTTTTGGTTGGACAGGTGCGTGATTTTGATGTGAGAAATAAAGAAGCTTGATTTTAAGATACAACTTTAAGGAAGTCAGCCAAGAAATCATAATTGAAAAATGTTCATTAGAAAATTGTATGTGATTTATCCTTATGGAGGAATCATGTTGTCTTAGAAGCTCATGTGTATTGGGAAAAAAGAAATGTAAGATCTTGAAAAGTATCAAGAAGAAACAGTTCTAAGTTGGCTCACAAAAGTCAAAATTAAAGGGGACACATCTTCTCTTATTTGATTATCAACCAAAGACTGGAAAATGTGGTAACTGGTGAGGTCAAATCAAAAACACATTAAACATGAGAATCTTCTTTTTCTGTTTCTGGTGAGAAGGCTAAAGAAATATTTAGGTTAAGTCTAAACAAATTTAGGGACCATTTGGTTTCTTGGAATAGGTGCCTGGAATCAGAAGCAGAATGGTCCATGATGATTCCAACTGTTTGTTTGGCAGAAATGGGATTCCAATTCCCATTCTTGGGGGAATGGCCATTCTAGAGTCTGTCAAGAAGTAAAGAACTCATGAAAAAAAAAACCCAATATTAATTAAATAATAAAATATTAATAATAATAACAAACAAGGATATTAATTGTTTAATATAATAATAATAATAAAGTATAAATAAAAATAGATACAACATACTTCAAGTAATAATAAAAAATAATAATGCAATATTAATAAACAATTCATGAACATCCATAATTAAATAATAAAATATTATGAAAGTAATAATATCATAATAATAAAACCAGAATATATTAATAAATAAAATATTAATAAGATAATAGTACCATCATAAAATATTAATATAATATAATTCATGTAATAATAAAATACTAACACATTAATTATTAAATATTATTAAATTAATTTTAAAATAATAAACAAAAAATAATAGAATATTAATAAACTAATAGAAAAATTAAAATATATTAATATATTAATGATCAATACGAAGATATTCGTTATTAAATATTAATAAAATAATAATAACAAAGTACTAATAAAATAATAGTTATATATTCATAAAATTTTATTGAAGTAATAACAAAATAATATATAGCCTAATACAAAATTTAAAATTTTCAGTTGATTATCATTCCAACTACAAATGAGCCAAACAGCTACAATCGGAATCCGATTCCAGTCCTGTCTGCAAACCAAATGAACCCTGAAATCATAGGGGCTGTTCACCAATGTGAATGGTTTTGTTTGCTAAAACAAAAGCAATTACCATGTCAGCAAAAACAAAATATTTCTGCTGATAGCAACAACATATGATGAATTTGATCAAACAAACCCTGAGCTCTTTGAAGAATAAAAATTATACAACACACACACACACATTGCGTTGGCTGTAGCAATTCAAGCATGATCCCCACTATGTCATTGCTATGAAGATTCAATCTTCAATTCCACTTTATATGGAATGTCAATGAATGATAAAGCTACCACAGTTCCTGCACAGGAACATGTGCGACATGGGTCCATTTGATTGTGCTCAGCTTCAGTGCAAAGATTACAAACACCAACCTTATGTGGTACAAGTACCAAAGGTTCATTTCTACCACTAACAAATATGCTAAGATAAGGAGCAGAGAAAGAGAGAGAACTACATGTATGGTTTTGGAATCACTACAGAAGAATAGGCAAGCCTTTGGCTTGTTAGAGAGATTCCAAAGAAAAGTAAGAAGGCAAAACACTCACACTAATTAAAGAAAAATTTCTTTTCAAACAAGGATGGGTGATGAAAAGCTTACAAGTTCTCTTTTAGTTGCAGCGGAAGGTCTAAAACTACTGCCCAACCATCATATTTTACTTTCACTTGACAAAGCTCTGGTCCTCATTTGATTTACCAGTTTTCTCACCAAATTCGGATTAGCTGAAGCAATGGCTATTCAGCGAGCTGTGGAACCAATAATAGCACCCCACACCATTGATAAAACACATGGGGCCCACAGTGAGAAGTTGAATGGTTGTGGGTCCCATGTATTTTATTATTGGCATGGAGCACTACCATTGGTTCCACAGCCTGCTGAATAGCTATTGCATTCAGATAATCCTTTCTCATCACCAAGGGTAAGTTGTTTGGTCATTTTTTAATCAATTAATTGCTTGGGCAATTTTCTCTCTTTTGAGTTCTTGTCTGGTTATAAGTATAGACCATATAACTTCACTGACCAATTCATCAGTCTGACTACAGTAAGACATACTGAGGTAGAAAGGGATGTCTTCTCAGTCATTTCATTACATAGCTGTTAAGCTGAATAGTATCAGTCAATGCCCATTGTCCATTTGACTATAGGGATGTCGGTTGGCCAACAGAAGACCTGATTTTGCTAATTTTGTAAAGGATCGCCAAGTACTCTATACTTGGCAAAAACTTAAAATTCCAATAGTAAAAAAATCTCAGAATAGCCATTGTTAAAAGCATATTTGAAAAAGGAACTGCTAGTTAGTCCTAAGCTTGCAAAATCATATTTGTAGCATTCCATTTCTAAGTTCCACGCAATAACTATATCCTAGAATTTTGTACCTTGAAGCTGTAACCCTGGTCAATCAAAAATTGTTGCCTCTTAGTAGAGTAGTACATCTCCTGCAAAAAAATTACAAGCATAATTAAAAATATATATTTTAAACTGTAAAGTTCTTTTTAGCTCTACAACCTATCAAGTGCTAGTAAGATGATATTTAAACTTACCTGTGTATCTGTAGACACTAGAGAATAGAAAAAAGCATTATATTCTTCTTTACCACCCGCCAATCTATCCTGAAGCCGACCCTGTCAGAACAGTGATAGATGTCAGAAGTCAAATACCATAATTTAAAACAACCATTATCCAAAAAAAAAAAAAAATCCAAGAAACAGATTCATATAATATTATTGCCTCAAAATAATACAAGAAATAGATTCATATAATAGTTTTGAGACTAACAAGAAGAGTCCTCGGATTATTTTTGGTATCAAAGGAAAGCCATTACTCATTCATCCTCTTGGTGCCTGCTCCTAGGGGGGTGTTCATTGTACGGTTCAAACCATAAAACTGAACCGAACCAAACCGAAATTTTGTCGTTTGGTTTGGTTTCAAAGTTTTGAAAAATACGGTTTACAGTTTCAGTTTGGTTTATTATATTTTATAAACCAAACCAAACCGTATACCATATTAATATAATATATTATATATAATACATATTTAAATATATAAATATGTAATAAAAGTATTTATTTTATAAAAAAATAATATTAATGACTAAAGACCTATTTTTAATTTTAAGTTTTAACTTTAACTTTTAATTAATAATCGAATTATTTCTCTCTTCTCTTTGATGCCCTAGCCCCTTTCTCACTTTTCTTTTTCATTTTCATTCTCAACTGAAATCCTCTGTACACAACCCTCCATCACTGTCCACTCTCTCTCTCTCCTTTACTCTCTATCATCTTTCCATTATCTCTCCCAACTCTAACAAAAAGCCCTAACCCAGGTAACCCTCTTCCTCTGAACTTTTCTCAACTGAACCATATCCGTACCAGTCCCCACCATTGTCACCGATTCGCCGTCGGCTGCTCTATTTTGGCTGGCTGCAATCTTTCTCTCACTATCATCTTTTCATTTCCTCTCTTTTATTCTTTGAAAAAGAAAAGCCTAACCCTTTCTCTCTATCTCTGATCTGTGTTCAACTGTAAAGACAGAGGAACTGAAAATACAGGAACAAGAACTCGAATTTGGACTTGGAAGACAGGTAAAATCTCAACCATTTTCAGAATTTTTGGACAAAAAAATAGGATTTATTTATTTGTTAATTATATGTTTATATATGCATTTTTTTAGCTGTAGAATGCTCAATTATATGTTTTACATGAGAATGCTTTTATTCATGTTCTGATTTTTTACTACATTTATTTAATTGATTATTTTACATTGTTCTTAAGTTTTTTTGGTTTATACATTGTATATATTTAAATTGTCAACAATAAACTGATAAATTTTTTTTGTTGTAAATCTATTTATTAACAGATTTATATATAAAATATGCCCCATTGTTTTTTGTTCAAATGTTAATAATTTCATATGTTATTTGTTTATTAACAGATTTACACACTTGTTTGGGTCAAATTAAACATGAAGAAAAAAATATGATCTATTAATTAATGAATTCTATAATGGTTTTCATATATTATTTGTTTTACATTTAATAATATAGATCCACACTAATTCTATAATGGTTAAGATGTCATGGATTGACCAGTATACATTTATTTAGTTTTCCTTTTACATAGGATATTATTTTAATATTTTCTATACCGGTCCAAGTAAATCATAAAAGGGTCCAAAGTCCCCAAGCCGTAATAAAACGGTTTGGTTTGGTTACTGTGCCAAAACGGTTTGGTTTGGTCGGAGAATTTCCAAAACTGTAATTTACTAGTTTGGTCTGTGATATTCTCCAAACCAGACCGTGAACACCCCCTACCTGCTCCTTAGATGAAATTGAAGTCACACCCTCCTCTCCCATAAATGAGAGAGAGAGAGAGAGAGAGAGATAGAGAGAGAGAGAGAGAGAGAGAGAGAGAGAGAGAGTTGTTTCCAGCTATTACACTGGATACCTATACATGCCTAGCCTAGCTTATCAGTGCCACACATGATGAATACCTGATATTACATGAACATTTCTGTGGTACACTTCATAGCATTAACAATATTAAAATATATAACACTGTATGTTATAGAAAATTAATTTGGTCATGTATAAAGATGGCAAATGACTGCACTAACAAGGATGAATGAATTGGTACAAGTTGAATGCTCTAAAAGAGCAAGGGGAAGAGCAATGAACCCTGTGGTGGTAAAAAATGATTTAAAGATTTACAAGCATGTTAAACGGGATACCTCATACCTGCATCCAGGATCTTTGGAAATGGAATCATATCCCTGTGTAAGTGTCCACATCCAAACATCATGGATTTCCAGATTTCACATATAGAGATTTGGGTTTTAGAAATTATTTGCACACTGAATGAAACATTTTATAGGTTACAACATACTTCAAAAGTCATCGTTTTGAGAAAACACAGCAGCTTCAAGTATACAACAATTTCATTGAGCACCTTTCCAGATTAGAACAGTTGGCTCCACTAACAGAAACAGACCCACCGATGCACATTGAAGAAACTAACATAATGGAACTTTATGGAAAGAAAATGGATACCAGAACCAACCTTTGCCCTAAGAATACGACCCAATCTTTGGGCTTCTTGTCGCCGTGAACCAGCATGAGATGAGATCTGGATTATGACATTTGCCTCAGGGATATCTATTGAGTTGTCACCTACCTACAATAAACAAGATTATAAAAAAGAAGGTTAAAAATATCAGCTACTAGAAACAGATAAAGGAAATATTCTACTATATTTGATGTTTAGATGATTGGCAATATACCAATTAAGTTCTTGGTCGCTTGGGGAAAAGGATGCATAACGAGTGGTAGAAAGAATTCCTTAGAAACCAATCAAAGCCTCAACAAACAATTAAGCCACACCCAATGAGAACACAATTTCAACTTTTAGAAAAAACAAAGTTACATGTTCTTCTATAAACAGTTATATATTTTTTACTAGGCCCAAATGCCAACAATGACCATATCCAAGTAATGCTTTCAAAGCAAGTAATTTCATCAGTATATTATCATTTGGTAAGCGATCAACATGTACAACATAAAACCAATGAAGGCAAGCCAATTTCATTTCATTTTTCTATGCTAATTATGAAAACTTATGTAAGCTCTCATAAATAATAACTTAAACAGATTTCACTTAAATAAATCATGCTGGACAATTTTTCCAGGTTTTGAGGTTAGTACCTTTGAAAGAAAAACAGTATTTACATCTGGACTATGCTTGAAAGCATATAGAATTCTTGTCCTTTCATTGTGGCTGAACAGAAACTCCCAGTTAGTAAAACAAATGGCATAAAAAATTTAAATAAACCTGAAAGGCAAATAACTTGATTTGGTTTAAGGACAACCTGGTAGCACCATAGATCATGGGCTTCCGAAGCTTCATTGCATACTCAGTCAATGCAAAGAGATTATCAGCAAAAACAATGATCTTATCACCACGCTGCTCCTCATGGAACCTTATCAGAAACTCACAAGCCCTGAACTTGTTTGGGTTCATAACATAAAGGGCCTATGAATACAACAGCCATTTGAAATTAACAGAGTGAATTTCAAATGTATTGAAATGGATACAGCAAACAACCTATATAAAGAGATAAAATTAATTGATGGTAATAGCATTTCTAATTCACTAGGATAGAGAACAAAGGAAGCATGCACAAAACAACATGATTCTTCATTCCTTCTATAAACTCAATCAACAGATTTAATCTTAAAACCAGGCTATATCAGGAGAGTATGCCAAGGTGCAACAGTTGGGGGTCTCCATTTCGACCTGGGTGACCAGGGTTAAAATCTTGGAAACAGCCTCTTTGTGTATCTCTAGGGTTAAGGCTCTGTAAATCTGTCCCTCCCTGGACCCCGCATTGGCAGGAGCCTCATGCACTAGACTCTCCTTTTTTAGTAGGAGGTAACATTTTTTTTATCAATAACAGAAATTTTCATTAAAAATTAAATCAGTATGAACAATGAATACATTAAAGAGGAAATGTAAACTTTCTTAACTTTCTTAAAAACACTTGGGAGATTACAATTGAGCCCAAAACAGTTGACTTCTCCCCACCCCTTATTTTGCTAAACATCAGCGAAGGCATTAACAATTCTTTTAACCTAACTAAGTCTCGCATCCATATTTCATGTCAGCCACTTGAATTTCTTTCTTTCAGTACTGTGATTCCAAAGTCCAGCTTCTTCCTTTTGCAGACATTCCACTACCAGCTTTAAATTAGCTTCTATAATCAGCTTACTTAAGTTCATATCCTTTGCCTTTTGCACTCCCCCCATAACAGCCATTATCTCAGCCCTTAAAGAGTCCCCTATACCAATTGTGCCTGAGACCAAACCAATAATTCTGCTGCCTTCACCATTTCTAAGAACATCTCCAATGCTAGAAGGGCCTGGGTTACCTGCACTACTCCCATCAAATTAAGCTTAATGTAGTCAATAGCTGGTAGAGACCATAAGGGGATTGTAGTATACTTATGAGTCTGAACCAGCCACTTCCTTCCAATTTTTCATAAAGTCACCTGTTGAGAAATCAGCAAAGAGCTCCAAAGATTTCACCCATTGAATTGAACCACTCTAATTATGATGGTTTCTATGATTGCCTCCTTGCTTCTTTCCTTATCTGAAAAATTCTTGAATTCCTTCCTTCCCATATGGTCCAGCTCAAAGCAGCCATTAAGCATTTGCACATTACTCTTCCCCCTTTTCTTTGGCCAACCAAATAAATTAGAAGAAAACAAGCTTTGGACATTAGGCAGGAAAATCCACCTACACCCAAACAACGAGAAAAACCATTCCCAAATATAGGTTATAAAGGGGCAACAGATTAACTAGTGAAACCAAGTTTCTCCATTAGCCTTGCAAAGAATACACCAATGCGGGGGGAAAAACACCAATTAGCTCTTTTTCTTTATCACAAGTATTTATTCTTTCCAAGAAGACTTCCTAACAAAAACCTCCAATCCATGGAGGGATATGCTTGCTCCAAACCTCCTTTATAGGGAAAGTTTGCCCAGACTATCAAAGGATTGGATTAACGCCTTGAAGAACAAGGCATAGGAAAAGGTACCAATGGAGAGGGTCCAAATGCAGCTGTCAATTTTAGAGGGATTCAAGAAAATCCTTTCAAGGATATGAAGCAAAGCAAAAACACAATTTAATTTTGAGTCCCTTACACCTCTTCTCAAACACAAGTAGAGACAAACTCATCTTTATACCTTGAAAGGGCCAACAAGGAGGGAAATTTACCTTTCAAAGGTTCCCCACCCAAACATGTTCTCAAAATTTTATAAGGTTTCCAAAACACAGATCATACATAACAAAAGTAGGATGGATGGACTCACTTCCAAGGGGAAGCTCTTGTACCCTAGTTAGTAAACCAACATCCCATCCATTTTCCACAAGCCCATGAATGCTTACCACTACCACAGCCCAAAGTTTATCTTTATCCACAGGTAATCTCTAAAGCCACTAACCACTTCCCGTCTAACTCTATGGTCCTTTTTCTCCTCCCCTAGCTCCCACAAAAAATCCCTCATCAACTTTTCCAATTTCCTTTCCACACTCTCTGGCATCTTAAATATGGACATGTAATAAACGAGCAAATTAGCTATAGTGGATCTTATTAAAGTAATCCTACCTCCTAATGACAAATAATGTTTTTATTAATAACTGCATTTCATTAAAGAGGGTACAAAAGTTACAAAGAGGGGGAGAGGTAAACACTCTTAACTCTCCCCAAACAAATGTACACACTTACAAAACAGCCCACAATATATGGTTTTTTCCCAGCAATTAGAATCTCTTTTTGTCCACTTCAAGATAACTTCCATTCCTTGCGTCAGGCACTTGAACTTCCTTTTCTTGTTAGTATAGTCCCACCAACCCATCTCCTCTTTCTGAAGCCAATTGATAACCAATGTTTTAAAATGCAGAGGCATGATGCAAGGCATTCCACTACCTAGAGGCGCGAGGCGTAGTTCAGAACGTAAGAGGCATATGCCTCCCGAACACAAAGAGGCGCAAGCCTCCTTAAGTGTGAGGTGCATGAGGTGTACACCTCTTGAAAAAAGCGTACGAGGCATACGCCTCTTTCACCTGAGGTGCATACCTCAGAGGTGTTAGCGCCTCTAGCATGTGCCTTATAGGGCATTTTGGGGGCATCTTGCCTGGAGGCGCACCTCTAGGCGTACGCCTCCCATGCCTTTTAAAACACTACTGATAACCAGTTCTGAGTCACCTTCAATTAATAATTTGTACATGAAAGAAGAAGAACTGTTTACTGTATTACAGGTTTGAAGAGAAGAAATGAGAAAGAGAGAGAGAGAGAGAGAGAGAGAGAGAGAGAGAAAGAGTGAAGAGAGGAGAAAAGAAAGAAGGGGTTCAATGGTAAATGTTCTACTGCCCCATACACTCCTTTATTTATAGATTTTAGGATCCTTACAAGAATAGGAAATAAATAAAAAATAGGAACAATAAGGCCAACCAGCCCAACTTAACAGAAATTAGAAACTTATAATAACAGAAATTAAAAACTACTAAAAAGAAATTAGAAACTACTAATAAAAGAAATTAGAAACAACTAGGTGTGGGGATTGATGGAGGGTAATTTAACCCGATCCCTTGAGACGGTGACACGTGGACATGACTCAGCACAAGTAAAATCTCAGCACAACGGCCTGACTGCGACTAAGTAACGAGCCCGCAGGGCAGCTCGCTACGTCACAACTCGCCACAGGGTGAGCTCGCTACAGCGCGAGCTCAAGGACCCCAGATGTACTGAAAGGGAATACTCCAAGATAAGTCTATCCCAGCTCGCTCCAATACTTAGGCAGAAAAACTGCCTCAAGAGGAATCACCTCGAAGTACCCTTGGGAGCTCGCTACAAGGTAGCTCGCGACAAAATAGCTCACTACAAGGCAGATCGCTACGGGATAGCTCGCTCCAAGGCAACTCGATGCTAAGCGGCGCGACGTTTTCAGGAAGCTTCTATCTGACAAGACCGTACCCGTCAGACTGCGCCACGTCTCCTGACTGGCAGCACAATCCCTGCCAGCCCGACAGACTGCACCCACGTCTCTCGACAGATGGTGGCGTATTTATCCTTCCGGAACGTGTCACTCATCCGATTGGGTAGTACACTCTACAATGGTCACCTGCGCAGCCCTGGCAGATAACGGCTGCGACAGAGGTCCAGTGGTGGTTACGCCCAATTTGACAAGAATGCTCATATTTAAGAGCCCCATGGTCGAAGGGGAAAAGTATCTTATATCTTACATCTTAAACACCTGGAATATATTTGAACTCTCTCTTGAGCTAATCTCGAACACTCAGTGATCTAGCGCGACCTGCACTCTTAGCCTTCTTTGCACTCTTTATTGCTTTCTCCAACGTTCTAACTTAAGCATCAGAGTATTCCCACCAGGCAAGCCCCCCAGGAATCCTTCACCATCTTCTCAAGTATCGTCCGTCGCCAGGTAGGAGCCAGTCAGCTGCCAGCTAGGAGTGCCCGGATTGTGCAACATCAGGTATGAAACCACACACACTAGAGCCTGAGTGTGGGTATGGAACCCCACACTCGTAGCTAACCAACTATTTCTTCACTCCCCCTCAAGTTGGGAGTAGATATTTGTCATGCCCAACTTGCGTAGATTTGTCTCCAATTTGCCTTTCGAGACTGCTTTGGTGAAGAGATCAACTAACTGCATGTCTGAGGCAATGTAAGGAAGGCATACTTCTTGAGATATGACTCGCTCTCGAATAAAATGTCTGTCAACTTCGATATGCTTAGTCATGTCATGCTGTATTGGGTTGTGGGCAATATTAATTGCAGCTTGATTATCACAATACAGCATCAGAGGCTTCTCATAATCAACCTCCAACTCATTAAGCAAAGATCTCAGCCATAACACTTCTACAACACCATTGGCTATGGATCTGTATTTCGCTTCTGCACTGGAGCGAACAACAACATTTTGCTTCTTGCTTCTCCAGGAAACAAGATTTCCCCCCACAAATGCACAATATCCAGAGGTGGACCTCCTATCGTCAACACATCTAGCCCAATCCGCATCTGTATACACTTCTATTTTCATATGACCATTATTCTTGAAGAGTATACCTCTCCCTGGACATCTCTTTAAGTAGGCAAKGATCYTTTCTACTRCAAGGAGATGGGTGGTCCTAGGAGAATGCATGTATTGACTGACAATACTGACGGCATAAGAAATATCTAGTCGGGTTAGACAAAGATAATGAAGTTTCCCAACCAGCCTTTGGTACATAGCCCTGTCCTTAAGGAGTTGTCCACTTTCTGCGATTATCTTAAGGTTAGGCTCAATGGGAGTATCAACGGGTTTCACTCCTAACTTGCCAGTTTCTTCCAATAAGTCCAGAACATACTTCCTTTGGGAGATAAAAATGCCATGCTTAGATCGAGCTACCTCAATTCCTAAGAATTAGTATAACTTTCTTAGGTCTTTCACTTCAAATTCCTTGTGAAGGTAC